ATAATGTGCCTAAATTTACACAAATAGTAAATAAGTTAGAATAAATCCAGTAAGAATTCTAGAGTTCATGGCTCTTTCGCCACTTGAAGGAATGATAAAAAGTTGATTACTTTCAGTTGTTAAATGAAGACAGAGTCCTGTTCTGATTTCTAGGGTAATCACTGAAAGAACAAAAATTAAGTATATATTTCTAAACTACTATATCAGAGAGGAAAAAATCAAGTGAGGAAAAAAGTGTAAGAGAAGACTGAAAAGGAAAAGAAATCTAGGAAAAGTAGATCACAAAGCAAAACTCAAGATGGACAGTAGAAATAAACTCAAATGTATAGGTAAGCACAATAAATAGAAACAAACTAATTTTAAAATAAAAAATTTGTCAAACTGAAAAAAATCCAGTTATATAATTACAGGAAATACATCTAAAACATAAGGACAATAGAGTATGAAAGAAAAGTGATTACTATAGTTAGCATAGTTATATTAGTCTCAGACAAAATAGATTTACACAAAAATCTAATTCCCTAATGAGCCCAAAGGTTCCAAAAATTTATTTGTACACATCATGCTTAAGGTGAAACATCTGAAAGTTATTTTTTAGAGAGATTTTTGTTATAGGGCATGTGTGATCTCTTGAGAGACAGAGAGACAGAAAGTGAGCAATCACCCCTGAGGGGATGGTCATGCTACAATCCCTTCTCCATTCTCCTCTTGGGATCTCTTTTTTTTGGAGAGGTTTTTGCTATAGGGTGTGTGAGCTTGCCAGAAAGACAGAGAGAGACAGAGAGACAGAAAGCGAGAAATCACCCCCCCAGGGGTGATGGCCACGCCACAATCCCTTCTCCTCCATTCTCCTCTCTAGACCTTGGGCACGCATGCACACGTGCTCAGCGTGAGTTTAAGCCACCACGTCTAAGACTCGAACTGCAGTGGACTACATGGGAGTCCAGCGACATAGCTGTTACACTAACTGCTGGTCCCTCCTCTTAGGATCTTTGGCACATGCACCTGGCATGAGTTTTAAGTCGCCAGGTCCAGTACTGAAACTGTGGTCACCTACGTGGGAGTCCAGCAACGTAACCATTATGCCATCTGCTGGTCTTAAAAATTAGTCCTTTTAAATTTAGGGAAAAGAAGAAGGAAAAAGAGGAGAGATTCTGGCTATCACCATTTCTATTCAGCATAATACAGGCGGTCCTAGCCACTACAACAAGGTAGTAAAAAGAAAGAAAATGTCTAAGAACAAAAAAGGCAGGGGGAAATGTTTAAATGCCACTGGGGCCAGCATGCAGTGCCAAGGTTAAGGTGATTAGGTCCCCACATGGCTGACTCTGCAGTTTGAGTCATGGCCCTGGTGACTTGAAAATCATTCTAGGAAGGTATGTGTGCATGCCCAAAATCCCAAGAGGAGAATGGCGGAAAAGGGACTGCAGTGTGGCTATCCCAACTGGAAGGATGATTTCTCACTTTCTCTCTCTCCAGTAAGCATACGTGCCATATATATATATAAAACTTAAAAAAATTTATTCATAAATTGTAATGCCTAAAAAATATACTGATAATTTATTTAAATTACATATTTTAGTAAAGTTCCAAGACAGAAGATTATATAAAAGTCAACTTCATTTCCACGCACCAGTGAGAAAAGTTGTAACTTTAAAAAAATTGGGTGGGTGGGCCCAGCAGGTGGCATAGTGGTTAGGATGCGTGGCCAACTACGGTTCGAGTACCGGATCTGGAGGCTTGAAAATCAGGCCACGTATGTGTGCATGTGTGCCCAAAATCCCAGGAGGAGAACAGACTGTGGTGTGGTCATTCCCCTGGGGGGAGTGATTTCTCACTTTTCCTCTCCTTGTCTCTCTCTGGCAAGCACGCACGACTTACGGAAAAAAAAAAAGAAAAAAAAAATTGGAAGCCAGCACTGTGGCCTGGTAAAGGGAGCTAGAACCCGTATGACTGATCACAGTTCAAATCCCAGCCCTAGTAGCTTAAGAAATACACCAAGCACATGTACTTATGTGCCAAAATCCCAACAGGATGGAGAAATGGAGCAGAAAAGATTGCAGAATGACTACTGCTCTATTAGGGGGTACTGTCTCCCTCTCCTCCCTGTGGCCAAAAAAAGAAAAATCTGAAAAAAGGAAGTGAACAATTAACAGAGCCCTAAGGGGAATCTAACAAAAGATATATTAGACTTTAATGAAGAAAATTATAGACCTACTGAAAGATACTAAGGAAGATTAAATAAGTGAGCTGCTATCATGCATATGAACAGAAAGTATCCACAGATGTTAATTCTCCCTAAACTGACGAATTAATACAACTTCAATTCAAAAAACACAACAGAGTTTTTTTTGTGAAAGCTGATAGGCATATTTTAAATTTTCTAAAGGACAACATAAAGAAGAACCAAAACAAATTTGAAGAAAAACAAGGAGAAGGGTTTGTCTTACAGATGCCAGAACTTACTACAAAGTCTAGTAAGTAAGACAGTGTGGTACTGACACAGAAACAGATGAAGGGAGAGGGGCCAGGCTCATATATATTTATAACTTGATACCCAACGCAGATAGAACTGAAGATAGGTGGAAACATAATGTACTTTAAATAAAAAGTGGTGTTTGGCAACTGAGTCTGAAAACAAGTTATAAGATGTATTAACGTTTTATTAAATGTACCCTGAAGGATTTAACTTCTGAAAATGGAGAGAGGTGACAGTTGTACAATATAAATGTACTTAATGCCAATAAACCATACACTGAAAAGTGGTCAAGATGGTAAATTTTAGGTATATTTTACCATGATAAAAAACTAATACAAAAATTGTATAAAGTAGTCTTGGGAAAGGGGACAGACCCATAATCCAGGGGTTGAGGGAGTTGGGTCCCAACACAGTTGACCACAGTTCTAATCAGCCTCAGCAATTTGAAAACGACACTGGTTGCATGTGTTTATGTGCCTGAAATCTCAACTGGATGGAGAAATGGAGATCATGGTGAAACAGGATCATGGTGTGGTCACGCCCACTAGGGGGATACTTCCTCTCTGGCAAGCACGTGCACTCTCAGAAAATTAAAAAAAGAAGAAGTCATCTTTGGCAAAAGTGGTACATCATATGCTTAAGAATAAAACTGAACCTAACTTCACCACACAAAGGGAAGACCACATATAGAACTTCAAATGTTAAGACTCTCTGAAGGGGGCCAGTGAGTGGCATGATGGTTGGGATGCTGGACTCCCAAATGGCCGGCAGCGGTTTAAGTCCTGGACCTGGAAGCTTGTTTTCTCACTTTCCCTCTCTCCCTCTCTCTCTCTCTGATCAAATTGAAGAATGATAATAAAAAAATAGATTTAGATAAGTAATTATTTTTTAAAAAAGACTTTCTGAGGAAAACTCAGAAGAATTTACTTATGGTATTGGGATAAGGAAGCATTTCTTAAGAAACAAAAAGTACAAAGCCAAATAAAAGATGGACAAATAGTTCTCTTCATTACATGACACTATAAGCTGGCTAGCCACAGTGATATGGTGGTAACGCAACACTCCAAGATGCTGATGCCACGTGGAAAGGTCACAAGTTCACAACCCATAGTTTCCTCATACATGCCAGGCATGCATGCATGTATGCACATCCATGATCCTGGCTTGCTGAGGCTAGGGGTGGATTGTGGCTTGAAGACCCTGTTAGGGGTTTATGTGTCTGTGTCATGGAAGAAACAAATTTTATAAAAGAAAAATGCCATAAGCTTACTGAAGAGTGTATTTTTAACTCACATTTAATATCCAGAAGTTTATTCCTAAAAATTCCTAAAAATACATACATAAAATTCCTATAAATAAATACATAAAAACCATCCCCAGCCTACAAAATGAACAAACTCTAAGGACAGGTCCCAGAGAAGAAGCACAAATGGTTGATCAACACATGGAAAGCTCTAGCTCACAAGGAAGGGGTTGGGAAACCCAGAGAGCACTCACACCCCAGACTGGGAAAGTTTGGATGCTGGGCAGCACAGATTTCAGGAGGGCTGTGTCACTGTATGCAAATTTACCTCAAAAGTAAAGAAAGATTAGGAGAGGTGTGTGAGTGCTTTAATCCTCCTGGGGGATTAATTTGGCACACAGACTTTACTAGTAGCACTTTGCACATAACTGCACTCTAAGTGTAAATTTAGTTTATATACTCGAAAAATAGGTTCAAATTCTCTTCTTGGCCGGTTTTTGTTTGTTGCTTTTGTTTGTTTGTTTTGGAGAGAGATTTTTGCTATAGGGCATGTGCACTCGCCAGAGAGACAGGCAGAAAGCGAAAAATCATCCCCGAATGGGGATGGCCTTGCCTCAATCCCTTCTCCTCCATTCTCCTCTTGGGATTTTGAGCATGCATGCACATGCATTTGGCATGAGTTTTAAGTCATCAGGTCCACGACTCAAACAGCAGTCAACTACATGGGAGTCTAGCAATATAACCATTACGCTTTCTGCTGGTCCCTTGGCAGCATATTTTAACAAGCTCCATCCAAGATATGACATGTATTTGACAACAAAGCCCCTGAGACTTCCCTAGTTCCTCTGACTGCACTGAATGATACAGGGTCACACCAGAAAAACACAAAGTGAAACAGAGAAATGCGGTTCAGTTGTAGGACTTTGCTCTTCACAAGTCATCACCTTTCACTCTTCTGCATTAATGAATGAGTATCTGAGTGCGTGCTCAATGGCAGCAGTGAATAATTAAGAACTTGCCTGGTCTTGGTACCATCCTCTCCTCCCCTTGACCCTTCCTAAAAAGAGAGGAAAATGGGAAGACACAGCCACCAACCTGTCAGTAAGAACATTCACCTCCAGCTCCCAGCAGAGCTTCCCCCTCCAGACCACGCTGTCGTGTGCATGTGCACACCCACACATGCACGCACAGGCCACCCAAACGGAACTCTGCTGTTTAAACACCCTATGCCGCACACACAAGTCCAGGCACAAAGCAGACCAGTGACACATCTCCTACCTGTGTTTTTTGGGATTGCAGTATGCCTCTTCGATAAGCTCCATTTTGTCCAAATCCTTCCACTTGCCTCCATCAAAGAACTGCCATCGATAGGGCAAATGGAAGTGAACTCTATTGCACTTATCTAAAAAGAAAAAAAATACACACAGAAAGTGAGACCACATACAATACACAACATGGCCTTGCCCTATAGCTGGTGGGTGTGGTGCTGCCCGCTGACCCAGAAACATTCTGAAAATTACTGGGGCAGACTTTGTTCTTTTACTGCAGTCATACTCTACCACTGAAATACTGAAACACTGTGTATATTATCATACACATTTTCCTTGTATGTCTCTCTTTTTAACAGGACCTTACATTGTCTAAAATACTATGCTGGTGGGTTACATCCAAGAATTCCACTGGTGAGAGTGAGGAAGCTGATCATGAGACAGTCAAAGGTCCCATCCCTGCAGTGGGCAGTCTGACCACCCTTTTGCTATGCTACAGTGTGTGCACAGGAAGAGGGTACACTCAAGACAGGGCTGGATTCATCTCTCCCAGAAACCCACCCTGACCCTGACCCATCCAGCCAAAGGTGGGTCCTTAGTGCACTCCAGCTGCTTTTTTTTTTTTTTTTTTTTCTGAAGAGGTTTTTGCTATAAGGTACGTGCGTTCGCCAGACAGACAAAGAGAGATGGAGAGATAGAAAGTGAAAACTTACCCCCCGGGGGAATGGCCAAGTCGCAATCCCTTCTCCTCTATTCTCCTCTCGGGATCCTGGGCATGCACGCACACATGCCCAGTGTGAGTTTTAAGCCACTGGGTCTGGGACACGAACTGTAATCGACTACATGGGAGTCCAGCGACATAGCCATTACGCTAATTGCTGGTCCCCCGTTTGGATCTCTTCTGGCTGCCAACCCTCCCTGCAGGTCTTCACACACCTGCCCCACCCCAGCATACCCACATAATAGCCCCAACTAGGTTTCCACCAGCTCTCACCCTGCACCTCCCCTACATCCCTCCCAGGGAGCCAGTCACCCTCTCGGCCCTCCAAGCACTCGAAGCCTGCTTCACCTTTGCTCATGCTGGCCCTGCCATCCAAAACGCTGCCCACACCCTCTCCTCCTTCAATTGGCCCACATCAGGTCCCACCAGACCCATCCAGAAGGATTCTGGGAGACCACAGGGAGAAAGGAGAAACAATGGGAAGGTCTTTGTACTCACACGGAGCTACCTGAAATACATCTGGGGTCTTCAGAAAGCTCATGGAAAATGCTTAACAAGAACAAACTGTGTTGGGTCCAGCAGGTGATTAAGGCACTGGACTTCCACATGGCCAACTTGCAGTTCAAGTCCCAGATCTGGGTGGCTTGAAACTCACACCAGGCACATGTGTGTGTACCCAAAATCCTGAGAGAAGGGATTGCAGCAAGGTCATCCCTCCGGGGGTGGGGGGGTGGGAGGGGGGTGATTTCTCACTTTCCTTCTCATTATTTCTGTCTCTCTGGCAAGTGCACATACACACTATGGTAAAAACTTAAAAAATAAATAAATAAAACTGCATTAATTTTTTTTATGCCAAAATAAACTTGCACTTTTTTCCTTATTTTTTTGGCTATAAGGCATCTGTACTTTCTGGAGAAAGGAAAAGAGAGACAGAAAGAGGGAGAGTGAGAAATCACCCCCCAGGGGATGGCCACGCTGTGATCACTTTTCTAGGGATCTTGGGCATATGCCTGGCATGAGTTTCAAGTCACCAGGTCCTGGATTCAAACTGCGGTTGGCCATGCGGGAGTCCAGTACCTTAACCACTATGCCACTTGCTGGTCCCAAGCACCTAGTGAAAAAGCAAGGCCTGGGAACCAGCAGATGGAGTAATGGCTATGTCGCCAAACTCCCATGTAGTTGACCATGGTTCGAGTCCCGGACCCATTGGCTTAAACTCATGCCAGGCGTGTGTGCACGTGTGCCCAAGATCCCGAGAGGAGAATGGAGGAGAAGGGATTGCGGCGTGACCATTCCCCCTGGGGGGTGATTTCTCACCGTCTCTCTGTCTCTGTCTTTCAGGTGAGCACATGCGTCCTACAGCAAAAACCTCTCCAAAAATAAATAAATAAATAAATAAATAAAGAAGAAGAAAAGAAAAGAAAAGAGAAAGCAAGACCTGAAGTAGTGTGCTGGTGTAGGAACGGAAGTGAAAAGATGCATCCTTGTACACGTACAGTCATTATGGGAGGGTGCTCAGGAACAGACCGTCATGGGTGCTGCTTGGAGGGCACCTGGGTGCTGGGGAAAAACGGGTTGTTCTTTCTTGACCATCCTTTGTATGTTCTTAGCCCACATTTCCAATAATAATGGGGCCAGTACCATAGCCTGGCAGTTAATGGAGCTGGATCCCACATGGCCAATTGCAATTTGAATCCCAGCCCCAGAGGCTTGGAAAAAAAAAAAAAAAACACTGGGGGTATGTGTGTATAAACTCCCAGCAGGAAGGAGAAATGCAAGAGAAAGGACTGAAGTATGATGGCGTCCCACTGGGGGATGCTTTCTCTTTCTGCTTCTCTGGTAAGCACATACAACCTCCAGCAATTAAAAGCATTTTAAATAATAATGAAGAATGGCTAATTTAACCCTTGAAAAAAAACTTGAGATT